TTGGCCTGCTGTGTTCATCCAGCTCCACACCTTGTTATATCAGGGGTTAGTGGGAATGTGCATTTGAGGTTACAATCAGATCAGTCATGTTCTTACTCAATGGTGGAGCAGACTTGAAGGGCTGATTGTCCTTCTCATACTGCTGATTTGAATGTTTATATCTGGCCCCTCAAACCAACATGCCATTCAACAAAATCATGACTGGTCCCATTGCAGTCTCACCTCCATTTTCCTATCTACCCTCTTTGTCCTTTGAATCCCTTATCATTTCAGAACTATCTAACTTTGCCTCAGAAATATTCAATGACCCTGCCTCCACTGCTCTGTGTGGAAGAGACTTTTCAGATTTGTGACCCTCTGAAAGAAAAAAAAAAATAATCTCTGTTTAAAATGGAAAAACAATTATTTTTAATCTGTCTCCTAGTTCTAGTTTCTCCCACAGGGGGAACATCTTTTTAGCATCCAACCTGTTATTTTTCCTTAGATCTTAAATGTTTAAAGAAGATCATTTCTCATTCTTCCAAACTCTAATAGATTCAGGCTCAAGCTGTAAAACTTTTGTTATAAGGTAAACTCTGCAACCCATAAATTATTTGGGTGAACCTTCTCTTCACTGCTTCTAATGCAATGATCTCCTTTCTTAAACAAGTAGACCAAACCTGTACACAGTCCTGTAGGTGTGGCTTCATCAACATCAAAAACACTGCAGAGTTCTACAATGCCATTCTCACATGATATTCCATCTGCCAACTTTTGGCCACTCATTTAGCCTAAGTCCTCTTCACAATTTACCCTCCTATCCATCCATGAGCCATCAACAAATTTAACAAATCTATACTCAATGTTCATCCAAGTAATTGATATAGATTGTAAAGGGTTGAGGCCCCATTGCTGCTTCCCATTGCAGTCGGCTCAATACATCTCACTTAGTCTGTTTCCCATTAGTTAATCAATTCTCTATCCATGTGATAGTGTTATCTCCTACACTATGAGCTTTTACTTTCTTCAATAAACATTTGATATGTTACCATGTTAATTACCTTCTGGAAATCCAAGTACACCACATCCCCTGTATCTATACTGCTCATTACTTCCTCAAAGAACTTTAATAAATTTGTTAAACATGATTTCTCTTTCACAAATGGGAGGTAAGAGTGACTGCCTTTGACTTCAAAGCTGTATTTGATAAAGTGTGACATCAAAGAGCTGTAGCAAAACTAGATTCAATGGGAATCAGGGGTAACCTCTGTACTTGTTGGAGTTATACCTAATGCAAAGGAAGGTGATTGTGGTTGTTAGAGATCAGGCATCTCAGCTTCAGGCCTCTCTGCAGAAATTCCTCAGGGTATCCAACCATCTTCAGCTTCTTCATCACAAGATTACCAATGGGAATGTTTGCTGACGATTGCACAATGTTCAGCACTATTTGTGACTCCACTGATACTTAAGCAATCCACATCCAAATGTAGAAACACTTGAACATTATCCAGGCTTGAGTTGACAAATGTCAAAAACATTTACGCCACACAAGTGCCCAAGAATGACCACTTCCAAAAGAGAGAATCTAACCATCGCCCCTCAGAAACTGAACTGGACTAGCCATATAAATATAGTGGCTACAAGAATCCTGCAGTCAGTAACTCACCTTCTGAAATCTGATAACCTTTGCAGTCTCACAGGCATAAATCAGGAGTGTAATGGAATATTTCCCACCTGCCTGAATGATGATAGCACCAACAAGATTCAAGAAGGTTGACATATTGCAGGACAAAGCAGTCTGCTTGATTTACATTATATTCACAAACATTTACTTCCTCCCAATCAATGTACAGTCACAGCATTGTGTACCAAGTACAAGATGCACTACAGAAATTCATCAAGGTTCCTGAGGCAGCACCTTCCAAATTGATGACCACTACTAATGGAAGACCAAGGACAGTATGAAACACCTCCACCTGCAAGCTCCCATCCTAGCCACTCATCATCTGACTTAGAAATATATTGTTGTTCTTTAATGTTACTGAGCCAATTGCTAGAAATCCCTTCCTAACAGCATTGTGGGTATGGGTGTACTTATCACATAGAGGGCAGCAGTTCAGCTCACCAGTATCACCTCAAGGGCAGCTAGGGAAAGGCAATAAATGATGGTCCAGCCAGCAACGGCCAGCTGTTGGGAGATTATTTGGATAGAAATGGTATGTAGGTATATGGGAAAGAAGTAGGAGACTGGCACTAGGAAATAGAACTGGTGCAGGTACAAGGGTTGAAAAGCATCCTCTGCACCATAAAAATTCTGTGGATGAATAAAAAGGAACTCTCGAAGTCTCTCCTGGAGAGTCCGGGAATTAAATATTAATCCTCTGCACAGTGCATTCAGCAACTTCAGAAAACAGTCAGAGAGGCATTAGCTTGTTTTTTTCCAATTGCTTGAGCAGTTACATTTGTTATAAAAATATTAAAATCGAGGAGTTGGGCAAGAATGTTTAGACAGTCAAGGATCTTAAACTGAGTAAACAACTGGTCTGGGAAGAAAATGTTCTTTGTGGCTGGGAGTCTTGGATGACAGTGCCAAAGGTCTCAATCTATTTAAATCACTTGTATATTTTTACTGTAGATTGATGAGATGGCTTTTAAATTTAAATATGCATCACAGAAATGATATGGAGAGGGATGGTATTTTGACGTGAATGAGTATGCGCATTAAATACGGATGGGGTATTTAAATTTAGTGAAAGCATGTTCATGTCCAGATGTAGTAGGAACTGCAGATGCTGGAGAATCTGAGATAACAAGTGTAGAGCTGGATGAACACAGCAGGCCAATCGGCATCAGAGGAGCAGGAAAGCTAACGTGAAGGGTCTAGGCCCGAAATGTCAGCTTTCCTGCTCCTCTGATGCTGCTTGGCCTGCTGTCTTCATCCAGCTCTACACCTTGTTATCCCTTCATGTCCAGATGTCTGGGTTAAACTCAGCCACATTTAGCTTTGTGCATGAAATGTTTTCCAGGGAGAAGTATTAGATAATTGAATATTTAAGTCAGTGCATTTCAACATTTTATCTGGCATTTAAACAGGTTTCCTGTGTTTCCTGAAACTCTCCATTGAAACCAGTAAAGAATAGAACTCATAAGACTCATTAAAAGTCAAGGAAACACAACAATAAATGTTGTATGAAAGTTGAGAAGGTTAGCACTCCCCTTGATAAGGTTGGAAGAGGTCCTTGTGATCTAATTACCACACTAATGGTTAAGTAATTGTCATCTACTTAGTAGAAATGGACCCTGTTGTGGTGAAGTGGCAGTGTTCCTCCCCCTAGGCGAGGAGGCCTTTGTGCAAATCCCACCTACTCCAGAGGTGTGTAATAACAGCTCTAAACAGGTTGATTAGAAAAATAAGTTTTTAAAAAAGTGTCATTGCTCACAGCTGTTTTCTTATGTGGCATTGGGAAATAATTTGTTTACAGTATGTTTAGTAAGCAGTTAACATCTTCAATTTGGAGATATTGAGAATTGGATCAGACTGGTGGTACCCTGGCTGCTTTAGGCTGAACCTTGGACAAGGATAAAAAGCAGCAACAGTCAAACATGCAGGAAGGGAGCAGCAGAGAGAACATTAGCTCTTTAAGAATTTGTACAGAGAGGGCTCAGCTTCCCAAATTCTTGGAACAACAATGATTCTGGAAGTTCTGGTTATCAAGCTTCAATTGTGGTTAACATGTGAAGTCTCCTTAAAGAAAATATGCTATCTACTGGGTCTGTTGGCAATGCATTACCAATGCGAATGTGAGGCTATCACCTTTAACATTTTTGTATTTGGATATTTCTAAGCTAGTATCAGTGACTTCTTTTCATTCTATCATGGGATGTAGGCATCACTGGCTAGGCCAGTATTTACTGCCCATCACTAATTGTCCTCACGAAGGTGGTGGTGGCCATCTCTACGTGGATCCAATCCATGCAGTGTAGGTGCACACCCACTGTGGATAAGGAGGGAGTTCCAGGAATTTGAATGAATGACAATGAGGGAAATGGCGATATAGTTCCAACTCAGGCTTGGAAGGGAACTTGTTGGTGATGGTGTTCCCAAGTATCTGCTTCCCTTGTATTTCTTTACCAATTCTGTAAATGTCCCATTATTTGTATTTAATCGTCTAAGGAATTTACTGAGATAGTTTCCTTCGGATAAACCAAGAACAAGATAGGTTTATTGAAATGACTCTTCCTGAGGTAAAAAGACTAGATATGAGTCGGTCATAGGGTCATGCAAATTTATTTGGCAAGCACACAAACTAGTACAGTTAGCAGATCAAGGGTGTAAGCTTACGAGGATTTTATTGTTTTGGAAAGTTAAAACAAGGAAGTGTATGGTTGGCTGTTTGTTGATCAGTATTGATGCTGCAATTCACTATGTGGCCGTTTAGTTTAGCTGGGTGCAGCCAAATTGATCATATTGTCCTGTTGTAAAAGGTCTCAGTGCTGTCATTTTCTTTCTCATGGATGGTCACTTTTGCAGAACTAGACGCATCTCTTCCAAAGAGAATGCATGTGCACAGTTCCTCAGCTTGCCTTAATCTTGAAATTCTCTGCTAATTTGTACATTCCTTCAGGGCTGACTGCACTCCATGCTGTCAGATCCAGCCCTGACTTTGTAATCAAACTTGTTGATAGGCTATTGTGTGCAGTTTTGGGCTCCATATCTCAGGAAGGATGTACTGGCCCTGGAGCAGGTTCAGAGAAGGTTCACAAGAATCGCCCTAGGAATGAAAAGCTTAACATATGAGGAACGTTTGAGGACTCTGGGAATATACTCATTGGAGTTTAGAAGGATGAGTGGGGGGGGATCTAATTGAAACTTTCAGAATACTGAATGGCCTGGACAGAGTGGATGTTGGGAAGATGATTCCATTGGTAGGAGAGAGTAGGACCCGAGGGCACAGACTTAGAGTAAAGGGAAGACCTTTTAGATCAGAGATAAGGAGAAACTTCTTCAGCCAGAGAGTGGTGAGTCTATGGAATTCACTGCCACAGAAGGCTGTGGAAGCCAGGTCATTGAGTACATTTAAGAATGAGATGGATAGGTTCTTGATTATCAAGGGGTTCAAGTGTTACGGGGAGAAAGCGGGAGAATGGGGTTGAGGAACTTATCAGCCATGATTGAATGGTGGAGCAGACTCAATGGGCTGAATGGCCTAATTTCTGCTCCAATGTCTTATGGTCTTACGGCTGGTGCTGTTGTTGATTGACGTACCGACCTCTACCTCGGAGAAGCTGAGCACCAGATCTTGGACACCTCCTCCTATCTCCTCCCAGACCATCACCTCACCGTAACAACATATCTTCGCCATGGACATAAATCCCTCTATAGCTCCATCCCCGCTCCGGTTGGTCTTAGGGTTCTCCGCTCCTTCCTCAAAAAAAGGCTTGAACTGGCTCTATCCACCAGTATAAGCTTGTCCTCACTTTGGACAACTTTTCCTTTAATTCTTCTCACTTTCTTCAGATCAAACTGTTGCTATGGGTACCCATATGGGCCCCAGTTATGCCTGTGTCTTTGTGGGTATGTGGAACATTCCTTGTTCCAATCTTAATTCGGACCCTGGCCACAATTCTTTCTTCAGTACATTGATGGCATCATTGATGTTGCTTCTCTCTGTTGTCTGGAATTGGAAACATTTATCCAATTTTCATCCTTCCTTTACCTTCATCTGGTCCATCTCTGACTTCTCCTCTTCCTTCTTCAACATTTCTGTTTCCATTTCTGGGAATAGGCTAGCCACCGATATCCACCACAAACCCACTGACTCCCACAGTTATGTGGACTATACATCCTCACACCCTGCTTCCTGTAAGGACTTCCTTCCATTCTCTCAATTTCTCCGCCTCTGTTGCAGCTGTTCTGATGATGCCACCTTCCACAGGGGAGCCTCAGACATGTCCACCTTTTTCCTCAACTGAGCATTCCCCACTACCTGAGTTGACAGAGCCCTCAGCTGTGTCCAACCCAATGCCTGCTCTTCTGCCCTTACCCCTTCCATCCCACAACAACGATAGGGTTCCCTTTGTTCTCTGTTTTCACCCACCATCCTCTGTATCCAAAGGATCATAAGCTTATGCCATCTCTAGCAGGATTCTATCAATAGACACATGTTCCCCTCCCCTCCCTTGTTAGCATTTTACAGGGACCATTTCTTCCAGGACACCCTGATCTACTCCTCCTCCACTTCCAACACCTCCCCACAACCCCACAGCACCCTCCCATGAAATCATAGAAGATACTTCACTTACCTATTACCTCCTCCCTCCTTACCATCTAATGCCCTGGACATACCAATTAGGAGAAACAGTGATTTACCTGCAGTTCCTTCAATCTAGCCGACTGCATTCATTGCTAACAATGTGGTCTCCTCTGCATTGATGAAATGAATGCTGACTGGATGAATGCTTTGTGGAACACCCAATTTCTATCCTTAAAAGTGAACCTGAGTTTTCAGTTGCCTGCTACTTCAACACACCACCATTTCTCTGGCCGACATTGCTGCCTCGGGCCTGCTGCAGTGCTCCAGCCAGGCTCAATGCAAGTTTGAAGAACAATACATTACCTTCTGCTTAGGTACCTTACAGCATTCAAGACTTAACATTGAGCTTAACAATTTCACAGCTCGAACACCTTCTTTCAGGTCTATTGTCTACTCCCTCAATCCAGGTCCTGTTATGAAATGGTTTGCTTTCAACACAGCAAACCCATTTTCTTCTACTCATAGTTCCCATTACAACCTATCTAGCTTATCTCCTTCCCAGGCTTACTATCAACAGCCCCTTTATATGCCTCTCCTTTTACTCTTTCTCTCTTTCTGGGTTGCGTCTCCACCTATCTGCTTGCTCCCTCTACCCCCACCCTTCATCCTCCTAACTGTTTCCAATGCTGGAGTATGGTCACTGGACTCTGAACATTAACTCTGTTTTCTGTCCACAGATGTTGCCAGATCTGCTGAGTTTCTCCAGTAATTTCTATTTTTGTTTGTTTCAGAACTTCGGCATCTGCAATTCTTCATTTTATTTGATTAAAAATAAGTTCGTGGTGTAGGGGATAGCATATTGATATGAATAGATCAGCTAGCAGTAAGCAGAAAATAGACATAAATAGGCCTTTTTCTGGTTGGCAATATGCAGCAAATGGTGTTCCACTAGGATCTGTGCTGGGGCCTCAACTATTTACAATTTTTATAAATGATTTTGATGAGACAGAAGGTTTGGTTGCCAAATTTGCTGATAATACAAAGAAAGTTGGAAACTACATTGTGAAGAGGAAATATGGAAGCCCTAAAGGAATTTAGATCGGTTGTTACTGGGTATATCTGTCAAATGGAGTCTTATGTGGGAAAGTATGAAATTGTTCATTTGGCTGGAAGAATCAATAAATAGAGATATTATTTAAATGGTGAGAGATTGTATAACTCTGAGATCCAGAAGAATCTGGGTGTCCTCGTGCATGAATTGCAAAATATAAGAATGCAGGCACAGCAAGTAATTGTAAAAGTTTATAGAATATTATAATTTGTCTCAAGGGGATTTAATGCAAAGGTAAGGATGTTATGTTTCAATTATACAGGGCATTGGTGAGAGTTGGAGCCATATCTGGAGAACATTGTACAAAATCAGACACTTAATTTAAGGAATGATATAAAAGCATTGGAAGTAGTTCAGGGAAGGTTTATTAGACTAATATGGAATGGGCAGGTTGTTTTATAAGGATGGATTGGACAGGCTTTTTTTAAAATCATTCACAGGACGAGGGTGTCGCTGGCTAGGCCAGCATTTATTGCCCATATCTAATTGTCCAGAGGGCAGTTAAGAGTCAACAGCATTGCAGTGGGTCTGGAGTCACATACAGGTCAGACCAGGTAAAGATGGCAGTTTCCTTCCTTAACTGACATTAGTGAGCCAGATGCGTTTTCTTGATGATTGATAATAGCTTCATTGTCATTGTTAGGCTCTTAATTCCAGATTTCTATTGAATTAAAATTTCATCATTCACCATGGCACGATTTGAACCCATGTCCCAAGAACATTACCTGGAGTCTCTGGATTAACAGGCTATTGCTTCCCCTCTAAGGATTGTATTCACTGGAGTTTAGATGAGTAAGAGGTGACTTAATTGAAACATATCACATCCTGAGGGGTGTTCACAAAGTAGAAGTGGAGAGGATATTATCTCTTATGGAAGGATTTAGAACCAGCAATTGCTATTTACAAGTATGAGGTCTCCCAGTGAAAACAGAGATGAGGTAA